GTCACAGAAGCCTGTTCCTTCCATATCATGGGTGAAGAATCTTTGGTCAACCAGATGTTTTTGTCTTAAGGCCCAGAAGCCTTGGCCAGCACGGCCAAATAAGACTCTTTTTTTAAAGGTGGTGTCTAAACTGCATGGAGGATCAAAGATTCCCTCAGCTCTGATCTGACCAGAGGACCACTTTATACGGAGCCCTGTATTTTGCAGATGTGCCTCAAGTTTATCAAGGTTAACTGCGGTCCTATTTTAATGCACATCACAAGTACACAGAAATTTCCTTCCCCCACTGCTTGCTGGAAAGTAGTTGTGTCTCTAGTTGACTGGGTAGGTCCAGTCAACTAGAGACACTTCTTGTTCCAGAAGAACAGTGGACAGATATTTGAAGGCTGTCCACTGTTCTAGCCCTGTGATCACCTGTCAGGCTCGAGGTAGCTGGCCATTTTAAAACTGGTGTTGTTGAAAGCCAGATCTGTATCCAATAAGTCAAAACTGATCTACAATCTTATTCTGGAGGAGGATGCAGATCTGGCCAGCATAACTGAAACTTGGATGCGCAGTGACGGGGGTATTCCTCTGTCCCTCACCTGTCCTTCCGGTTATGCTGTCCAACATCAGGGTAGGCCGGGGGAATGAGGTGTGTGTGGCCATTGTTTATAGAAGCAACTCGGGAGGTTGTTAGGCTCTCTGCTGTGGTGATGCCTGGTCTGAAGGCCCTCCACGTGTCAATTGGAGCCAGGGATGGTATTGGGATCTTGCTGGTCTTACCGTGCTCCCCATGATCCAGCCATTTCCTTACTGGAGCTGGCGGACTTAATCTCTGTTGGGATCCCCAAGGCTACTCGTCTTGGGTGATTTCAACATCCATGTAAAGGCGGAGGTTTCTGGTCCAGCTCTTGAGTTCTTGGAAACCATGGCTTCCTTAGACATGTCCCAACATGTTAACAGCCCCACCCACGTGGTCATATGCTAGACGTGTTCTCTTCTGAGCAGAGGGAGTGTGGTCTGATGGTGACTAACCTTGTGTCTGTCCCCTTGTCATGGTTGGATCACCACCTAATAAACTGCAACCTCACAGTGGCAATCCCTGTGGGGAGCAGGGACCTATTTTAATGGTCCGCCCTTGCAGGCTACTGAATCCTATAGGATTCCAGGACTCCATGTGAGGGATACCAATTGATCTGGCTGGCACTCCTATTGAGGCTCTGATTGATGATTGATTCGCCGCCATCACCAGGCCTGTAGACACGACCACTCCTGAACGTCCTCTCCACTGCAGAGCTTAACCAGCGACCTGTAACCTAAAAGCTGTTGGGATCGGGTCCAACTTTTACCTTTCTAAGATAAAGGCTACAAAGAAAGCTTACTTCGCTGTCCGGATAAGTGAAACTTCCAAATAGCAGGTGGAATTATTCCGCATAGTATGTGATCTGTCCGGAATTGGCCACAGTGATTGGCCTCCCCCTAGTATTTCTCCCAACTAATTTGCAGCATTTTATAAGCTAAAGTGGAGGCCACCCACCAAGACCTAACCCCCTATTTGAAACCAGTAGATCAAGCTGAGACATCTTGTCCAATGAGAATTACTTTCAGCCGGTAAGGTCACTTGAGGTTGACAAGGTACTTGATCCCTGTAGTTCCACCACCTCCTCCCTTGACCCTTGCCCAGCCTGGCTAATCTAAGCAGGCCTGAGAAAACTGAATGGGCCACTGCAATAATTAGTGGGTCTTTCCAGGAGGGCACGGTTCCCCTTGCCCTCAAGGAGACATTAGGCCTATTAGGAAGAAACTGAGCTTGGTGGCGGACGACATTGGTAATTATAGGCCCATCACCAATGTTTCCTTCCTTAACAAGGTTGCAGAAAGGGTGGTGGCTAATCAGCTTCATGCTCTCTTGGATGTAACCAATGCCCTGGATCGATTCCAGTCGGGCTTCAGGCCACGTCATGGTATGGAAATGGCATTGGTCGCCCTGCTTGATGACCCACTGAGGGAGGCCGATAGGGGCAAAATGTCCTTGTTAGTTCTCCTTGACATCTCAGCCACCTTTGATACCATCGACCATGGTATATTCCTGGGACAGCTTTCTGAGTTGGGGATTGGTGGCCTGGTTCTTGCCTGGCTCCGGTCCTTCTTGGGGAATCATTCCCCAAGAGTCCAGCTTGGAGAGAATGAATCGGCCCTGTGGCTCCTCAATTGCGGGGTGCCACAGGGCTTGATAATCTCTCCAACACTGTTTAATATCTCTTTGAGGCCACTGGGAGGGGTCATCCAGGGGTGTGGTGCTTCATGTCATCAGTATGCTAATGACACGCAGCTCTACATCTCCTTTTTTCCAACAGCAGTGAATACTGATGAGTCCCTTGAGTGCTGCTTGGGAGCTTAATGCAACGGATGCAGGAGAATGGACTGAGGCTGAACCCGAAGAAGATGGATGTCTTGAGGGTGGGCGCCCCTCCTATCAATGGTTTGCGAAGCTCCCTCTCTTTTGGGGGGGGCACTCTCACTGGACTGAGGCTGAACCCGGACAAGATGGTTTGGGTTTGGGAATGGTTCGGGAAGCTCCCTCTCTTTTGGGGGGCCACTCTCACCACAAAGAGTGTGGTCCACAGCTTGGGGGGTCCATCTTGACCCGGCGGTTACCATGGAGTCCCAGGTAGCGTCTGTAGTGTGTTCTGCCCATCTACAGCTTCAGCGGATCGGCCAGCTGTGCTCCTATCTTGATGTTGGGGCCCTCACCACTCTGGTCCATGCGCTCGTAGTCTTGAGATTAGACTACTGTAATGCACTCTATGTGGGGCTACCCTTGAGATTGATGCGGAAACTACAAATGGTCCAGAACACGGCCACCAGACTATTAACTGGAGTGAAAAAACATCATCACATTTCCCCCCGGAAACTACAAATGCTCCAGAACACAGCCACTAGACTATTAACTGGGGTGAAAAAACATCATCACATTTCATTTCTGCCTTGACTTCAAGGTATTAATGCTTACATATGAAGCCCTAAATGGTTTAGGACCTCGATACCTGGCAGAGTGCCTGCTCCCACCTAGCTCTACTCGCATCACTCGACCTAGCCAGGCTGGGCAGCTGAGGGGCTTGACCCCGAGAGAGGCCCAGAAGGAGAGAACTAGAAACCGGGCCTTCTTGGTGGTGACCCCTGACCTCTGGAACATCTTGCCCCCTGAGATTTGCCTGGCACCCTTGCTGGGAGTTTTGAAGAACAAGCTGAAGACTTTCCCCCTTTCCATCACTTAGTTCCCTGTGGTTTCCTATTTTGGACTGTGCTTACTTTCTTTTTTGTTGGATATTGTCTGTTTTAATACTTGTTTTATATTGCTCTGTCTGTAAGCTGCCCAGAGTAGATTTGTTTGACTCTAGATGGGCGGGGTAAAAGCCAAATAAACAAATAAAATAAATAAATCAGTGCTGGAAAGATGGTCCATAAGCGCCCAGAGTAGATTCGTTTGACTCTAGATGGGCGGGGTAAAAGCCGAATAAATAATATGGAAAGATGGTCCATAAAGAATGGCCTTATCCTTTCCTCAGACCCATACTTCTAGTTGGCATCCATTGTGGAAATCCAAGCCTCTAATTTACTGCAAATTTATATTTCCTTGAAGTTGTGGAAATCCAAGCCTCTAATTTACTGCTAATTTATGTTTCCTTGAAGCAAATGACATGAACTGGTTTGTTCTGGCTGGTCTGATCTGAAAGCTGTGGTCCAAAAGAAGTAATTTTCAATATATCTGATTCTGAAGAATAATGAAAAATCTTCCCTTCAAATCCCTCTGTTGCCTTCAGAAGCTGGCCCTCCAAAATACATGTAGCTGCATTTTCCTATCTACACCCCCCTTTGTTTCCACCTCTTTCTCTCTGTTGGAACGGCAATCTAATTGGTATTTAACTTCCTTGAAGCAAATGACATGAATTGGTTTGTGCTGGCTGGTCTGGTCTGAAAGCTGTGGTCCAAAAGAAGTAATTTTCAATATATCTGATTCTGAAGAATAATGAAAAATCTTCCCTTCAAATCCCTCTGTTGCCTTCAGAAGCTGGCCCTCCAAAATACATGTAGCTGCATTTTCCTATCTACACCCCCCTTTGTTTCCACCTCTTTCTCTCTGTTGGCATTTAGAAAATGATCTTCTCAGCAGTTTGGGGTATCTGGCTGCAGAGCCAAGCATTTTCCTATCAACACCCCCCTTTGTTTCCATCTCTTTCTCTCTGTTGGCATTTAGAAAATGATCTTCTCAGCAGTTGGGGGTATCTGGCTGCACAGCCAAAGGTTGGTAGTTCAATTCCCCACTGTGCCTCTTTATCAGGGACTCAGTGATCCATAGGGTCCCCTCGAGCTCTGCAGTTATGATTATTATTACAATAAGATTATTAAAGGATGTATCTCAGTACATTAATCTGTATTTGGTTGGGTACTGTAGAAATAATTTATCATTATTATAAATAAACAAGTCAGCAAATAAGATTATTAAAGGATGTATCTCAGTACATTAATCTGTATTTGGTTGGTTTAATGACAAATCCGCATTACAATGAGGTTTTTGCGATCGCAAAAGCGATCGCAAAATGACATTTTGAATGGGGGAATTTCGCTGCGTGATGATGGGTTCCCTGTTTCAGGAACCGATTTTTGCTTCCCGACGATCAAAACAGCTGATTGTTGAGTTTTCAAAATGGCCCCCGGGTGCTCAAAATGGCTCCCCGCTGTGTTTAGGAGCCATTTTTCACTGCACAGGCACCCGAAAATGGCCACCCCATGGAGGATCATCACTGGACGGTGACTTCTTAGCTGATTGGAACGCATTAACCAGGTTTTAATGCGTTTCAATGGCTTTTTTTTTCACTTTATGTTTTCATTCTACAGCGATTTTGCTGGAACGAATTAACGTCGTAATGCGAGGCACCACTGTAAATCTTCAAAAGTCTTCATTCTTCATAAAACCTCTGTAAAGAGATATGACTAGTAAAGCACACTAACAACAATTCAGAGTTTTATTACAATATTTTATTATGTGTCTCTGTAAGGAAAAAGAAGACCGACAACCGTATAAAAGCTTACAAAGATGGATAACCTCCAACACTTATAAATGTGTTAATGTGACAAAAGAAGTTCATGATTCTGCATCTTTATTGACTTTTACAGAGGGAAGGAAGAAAAGCCCTCAGAAACGGCCTACCAACAATATGACCTTCAATGAAAGACCTTTACCATTGTTGTCAAGCCTCCATGTTTTAATGCAAGTCAATAAACCTGGCTTGCAGATTTAGGAGTGTAAATCACACAGCTAGCACCATCACATTAATTTTTTTTTACACTTCCCTAATTTTAGTGGTCTTGACCAGCAATGACAGGAAAGTATAGGAGCACCCTTTTAAAAACACAATGCAGTCCAGCAATAAAATTATATTAGGTGTTGACACGAGGGCATTCACTTCTTCTGATGGCCTGCACTAAATTCACCACAATCAGTAAGGAAACCAACAAAAATCTGACCCAATGTCAGATTGACCCATTGATTCCAACATAGATGTCTTGGATTTTCTCGGTGTGAATCATCGCACTCATCCCAGTTTCTGTCCATGCTGAGGTAGTTGAAACAGGGAATTCTCTTTAGCTTTATGAACTGCATCTTATCATGGAAGATGAACTTGGATGCTGGAATCCGTCAGTGCTTGAGGGGCGGGCAAGAATTCAGCTAACGTAGGACAGTTCTGTTGTACTGAGTGTTGAAGTTGTAACGTAGCACCATGGAGATATTGTTTGAAGACAGGGTTCGGGTGAAAGAAATAAAACAAAAAGCACTTGGTTGCATTTTGTGTAAAAGCGAAGTAAGAAAGTGGTAACCCTTTGTGTCAATTTATTTCTCCCTCCCCCCTCCACTGTCAATCTGAAATTTTTTGCAAATAAATAACTGGGATACAGTTGATCTGAGGAGAATAGTTGACAATGTTAAAACAAGAGCAAAGATGGAGTGTGGATTTGTTTGTTGGGATTCAGAATGAGCATTATTCTTCGTTTATAAGAAGCAAACTGGGCCAATGTCCACACCAAATTCCTGATTGGGAGCGCCAATGTCGAAGGGTGCAACATCTACTATAGGCAGCCTCATGGTCTTGCGTGTTCTGTACTCGAAGACTGTTCTACCCCATTCACCCGTGTGCTTCTGTAGAACATAAAAAAGAAAATACATTTAACAGGATGGAAGTTAAACTTAAAAACAAACAAACCACGTGGCTGGTCTTTGACCGTAATAAAGTTTTATCTATCTAGCCATCAAACAAACCACCCACCTATCCACCTTGTATTTAAAATGAGATCACTCTCAATGTCCCCAAACATCCCACAACTTTATAAGGCACAACTGGTTCCCCCAAAGAGAGTGAGTGATAGGCAGTGAACATTTAAAGCTCTCTTTTCAGCCACCACAATGGGAGTGCTGCTGAGCTACACAGCTACAGCTGCTATTTTGCAGGGATTCTTCCCTTGGGGGCTGAATAATGAGTTACTCAGGCTTCATCTCTTGTAATTTCTGGGGAATTACTCAGTGAGGCCTAGTCTTCCTAATTTTTTACAGCAACAACTTGCTCAAAGGTGTACTGTCTGTTATCACTGTCATCTGGCTAGGTGTGGTTTCTGGTTGATATTTTTAAAAGCTTCTTCTCCCCTATTTTGGGGAAACAATGAAACATTTTGAAACTTCTCATCCCCAGTCTATTTTTCAATGCGAACACAGATGATGGCTGGCTTGTGCACAATCCTGCACGTAGGAGCCCAAGTCCAATTCTTGCTTCTCTCCGAACAGACAACATACTAGAAAAGTTGTTTTTGCTATTCTGATTCTGGTTCTTCAGCTAAGCTCTTCTAAAGTCTGAAAGGGTTACATAAAAAGACTTCTGCCCTATGAAGGCCTGTGGGTTGGATCCAGACCAATTTAGCTACACCTAATTAGTCACAATGACCACCTTTTCATATTGATTTTGAAAATCATTGTGAAACGGTATAGAACTCGTTGTGTTTTGATCCAACCCAGACAGAAGCCATATTTGGTGCTACCCTGCCACATAGTCTGTTGTGGCATTTTTCAGATTTGATAGCCAACAAAAAAATACATAACTAAAATTCAGGATATCTCAATAAATGGAAGTAGCATGGAAGTAGACATCGAGATGCTGTCTGAAATTGCACAATATTATGTGTTTCTGTGGGCATGGAAGCTTCAGATTGTATAGTAGCAAAAGGTACCACAGCTCCCTCTTTCTTTCTATCTTCATATTTCACAGAGGTAAAATGTTGTCTACTTACAGTACAGCCATCTTCCAGAACAGTGTATGTGAACTTGTTGTTTCCTTCTGCCTTGATCTCACTGTCAGTAGAACTCATAAGTTTCAGTGCTCTCTTTACATTCCCACTGGCCTCGTCCATGTACGCTATGCTGTTTTTACAGTGGTAGGTGATATTCTGAGAGGCTCGGCTAGACAGGATTCTGAGGAATGCCAGCTGAACATCTGCCACTTCTTCTGGAAGCTCTGGATCTCCATAGCTGAACTGTGGTGGAAACAGAAAAGGATTGGTTGTTGTCTGACCCAACTCTATTGCTCCATCTTGCCTCACTTTTTTGATCCACTAGATGGAGTTATGTATTGATAAAAGCAAGATAGACAGACAGATGGACGGACAATTGAATCACATTGCCTAGCCGTGCAACTCCAAGCCATTTTACGGCTGATGTGCAAGATGAGATGGCACCCATCACACTTACAGAACGCCAGCAGGATTGGCTCTTGAATCTTACTTCAGGACTGGCAGTGGAGCATTGCCCCACTTCACACTTGAGACAGGAGACTAGTTTGGGGATCTAGGACAGGTTGTATGGCATATACAACCCTGTTCTGCAACAGAAGGGAACAGCCTGGGAGATCAGGAGGAGCCCTTGAGAAGGTGTCACCACTGCCCCTCGGACAACTGCCTCACTCACTCTACTCCCCAGTCAAGCTCATTCATTCCAACAGTAGGATTGTTATTACCTGAAATCCTCCATTCATAGACTCTCCAAACCAAATATGTTTCTTTTCTGGCCCTGGGCTTGTCCACCAGTTCTTCTGCGGGACACTTCCTGGAGTGGCATTGATGCACGTCTCTCCAGTTTCCATGTTGCAGAATACTTTAATAGCGTCCAATTTGCAACCTTGGTTAGGATCGATCCAGTACTCTCCTAGAGGGACACAGGAAAAATGCCTTCTTCACATGACCTATGCATGACTTGACTGGAGGCAACAAATCCCTCCCACTCTGTCATATCGTTTTGAATATCAATATTTTCTAGTGTATAGAATACTTTGCCTGAATGTTTTTAGGACTTCCACCCTTCCAGTTCTGTTGGGATCGACCAATGCGAATAACCCAGAGAAGAGGTCAAAATTCAGTTACTTTGCAGTGAATCAGAGCAAAAACTACAGGTATAATAAGACCAGTCTTTTTAAATCTCTACATCTGTTTGTTAAAAATGCTAGTGCTATTAAATGACACTGAAAATAATTGAGAAGTTTGAGTTTCAGTTTTCATGCAAGGTTATCCAACTCCTACTTCCCAGACCTATGTGTAGGCTTGAACACAGGCCTAGAGGTAACCATTATTGAGAAACAACCAAGGTGATGAATCCCATATGGTTACTGGATGTAATCAACAATAAGGAGTGGAGAGCAGCAGTAGCACAGCAGTGCCTCTTGTAGTTTAAGGTTCTCCCCTGGGGCTCCACATTTCTTGAGGACCCTGACCTCCAGGACTCATGACTCATGGGTCGAGGGTGACTTAAGTCACACTGGTGATTTGTGCTCAACTCAATGCGTGGGTTTTGGTGGGGACTTGGGACTTGACTTGGGACTCAAACCCTTTCTGGACACAGCCTGCTGTCTCTGGGCATGCCTATCAGCTGGCCAGTGCCTGTGTGGGCAAAGGCAGCAGCCTGTCTCTGGGAACAAAAGCTGGGCCTGCTACCTTTGAAGATGGCGGCTGGGCTGATCGGGGCGGGGTCAGGGTTGGCGGTGGGTGGCCAGCAGGCCGTGGGGGGTGGCCCAAATCTTTGGGTCCCAGTCCTGAGTATCAAGCCTCGGGGTCCCCAAAGCAAGTGACTCGAGACGTGGACTCAGACTTGGGACTTGGGCCGGAAGACTTGGGACTTGGGTCAGAAGACTTGGATTTGGGAGTTGGGTCCCAAGACATGCCAGCATCCCTGCTTACATCTCTCTGATCTAGTTCAGGACAGAAAGGAGCCCATACCACTCTTAAGATCAGGATGGCAGAACTTGAGATCTCGGCAGTTGCGGGCTGGGTTCTTCCGTGAGCCATCAGGGCTGACGATGTTTTCAATCTGGTTGTTGATTGATTTCAGTGAAGTTATAACATCACTCATGGCAATTTTGTCCTCAGGTGGCTGGTCTCGGTAGTAGGACGGTCCTTTTTCAAAACCTTGGAGACCAGCAGCTTCAGCACCACCGCAGCAAGGACCAGGAGCTCCAGGTTGACCAGGAGGACCTGGAGGACCAGTGTTACCAGGTATACCCTATAAAAGAACAAGGGGGAAAATCCTTAAATACTGTAAATTAAAGTGAAATCTACATGCACAAAAAAGACTTAAAAGATAACAGAGATTTTAATTTCCCATCCCCTGCAAAATTTGGTGCCAGTTACTCCCAGCGACAGTAGGGCTCATCATTGTCTGTTGCTGGATGTAGTTACTTAAAGAAGAGCTTCAGACTGAGCTTCTCCTTAGTGGTGTTCTGTACGTGCCAAACTGCATCTTAGCCAGTGTTATCCAATGGAAGACAGCAGAGAGGACAATCACAGTCATGGGCCTGACAGGAAGAATAAAATAGACGAGAACATTGTCTCTCCCCCCCCCCATGTTGACCCTGAAGGAGAAGATGAATCATGACTCTGAGGAAATTATAGTAACAATGCATTGGGAGTCCTCATTATATTCCCCGTCTGCACATAGGGCCATCTGAATCAGTTGTTGACTAACTTTGGCAAAGTTAGGCTTTCAAGCTATGACTCCCAAAATATTGCTGCTGGGTGAATTCAAAAACTGTTGTCTGAAAGGTCACTTTTCCGAGGGCTTATTATGAGTAGGTGGTGCTTGGTGCTGTCTGTCTTCCATCCCCCAAACTGGGTGAATAACAGTTCCATTGCCTCTGCTTTCCAGAACTGACCAGGCAGGGGAGTTATTGGCCACAATTCAGCATACACTTAGATGGGTATTCTCAATTCCTTGATGGTTTGTGGCTGCTATTATTATTATTATTATTATTATTATTATTATTATTATTATTATTTGCTGTTGTTAGCCATTCTTTACCACTATCATGGACTTGGTTTTCCTTTTTTCGGATCTTTCTTCTTTTGGTGGCCCTATTTTAATCTCCAAGATGCTAGCATTGGTTCATTGATAGCTTTTGAGTTTATGTTTCTGTGCAACTCTAAGAGTTGCATAGGTTTTCCATATGGAGTAAAGGCCGACTATCTTACCGCAGGACCAGATTCGCCTCTGTTTCCACGAGGACCTGGTGGGCCAATGGGACCGGGGTAGCCACTTGTTCCATCTTTTCCAGGGGGCCCACTTGGTCCAGGGGGACCCTAAAAAGCAGGGGAAAAAACATCATGGTTGATGTACTGTGGAACTGGTAAGAAACAACCTGAGCTCAGAATCTTCATAGCTCTGTTCAACTGGCCAGCCAGAGATGGAGCATGCATTTAGTTAAAACTGAACAACGGGGAGCAAGAGGAGAGGTTACTTACTCTAGCACCTGCAGGTCCTGGGCTTCCGTTTGGACCTTGAGGACCCAATGCCCCCTGTTAAGACAGAAGTGATGCAAAAGGAGTCAGCCTTAGATGTGAGTCTTCTCTCCCTACATTGGAATTCTAGATTTCTGTAATGTTTGTTTCAAGAACCACCATGTTTTATTGAAAGACAATTCAATACAGAGCATGAGTATCAACCGGGCTGAGCTGGGCAAGCTGAATGGAACCTGTCTGTGAATACCGGATCTTGGGACAAACAAGGGAGGAAGGATCCTTCTCATCAGCTTCCACTGGATGAGGACAGTAGACGAGTGCAGTGGCTGAGAGACTGAGCTAGCAGCCAGGAAGCTCCCTGTTCAGACCTTGACTCTGGCATGAACTTGTAGGGAGCTCTTTCCCTCTTTCCTCCTTTCCAACATAACAGGTATTAATACTGATGCTTTACTGGGTTGTAAATAGCGCAAGAAGATAATGCATGGAAGAGTATATAAACATGATGCAAATGTTCACTGCATTATATCTAATTTTAGTCCCACTCTGAGTTAGACCGTCTAAATGTAATAGTACTTGTTAGTCAACCTTAGCTCTTTTACTGAGTCTAATTTAGGGATGGGATTTCGGATTTCTTGGACTACAATCCCATGATTCTCCGTTCTGGGAGTTCTACCTGACTTACCCCTTATAGTCACTTAAAGGTGTTTCATGTGGTAGAAAAAGCCTAAACTGGAAGGCTTTGCCTAGTTTCCTGCTCAGAAAGAATGCTCCTAATTTAGGACTGAGGTAGGAACAGGAAGCCTGGGTGGAGACAGGCCTGGCTAAACCTCAAAGCCTTCCCGTTTAGGCCTTTGCTTCCAGGTTGGCCAGATTTGAATGTCTTTAAGGTGTGTGTAAATCAAGCAAAGGCTAAAAAACAATGGGAGGGGGAATTATAGGATTTATAGTCCAAGAGGTCTGAAGATCCCATTCCACGTTAGGAGCAGAACAGGAGTCAGACCCTTGTTTATTGTTTTTCTGCTCTTCTTCTAATAAGGGTTATGAAGCTTGATGTGCAAATAAAGTAGCACTTAGAATTCTTATCCCTGCCTCCTTTATTTATGCACAATCTTTTTTTTAAACTTGACTCATCATCCAATTGAGTCATTCCAGGGCGGGAGGGGGGGGGAGAAAATGATCCTAATGTGCCGACCCAAAGAATTGCTTTTCTATGGCGGGAAATGAGATACGGGCAACTTTGTTTCAGGAATTCAATCTTAGTCTGATCTTGACAGGCCAATGCCTTTTCTGAGTTAGTGCTTATGATTCTTTTCTGGATGGTATAAAAAAATCAAGCCAATGGAGTTCTAAATACTTACAGATGGACCAGGGGGTCCTGGGTTACCAGGGAATCCTCGATGACCCTTGATTCCATTGAGACCACGTTCACCAGCTTCACCTTTATCACCACGTGGACCAGCGGGACCCTTTAGAAACCAATGAACAACGTTTTTAAAAAATAATCTTCAGAGGAAACAGAATATGGTGGAGAAAAAAATGGGAAGTGGAGACTTACGGGAGCACCACGAGCGCCGGCAGGGCCAGCGGGGCCAGCTGGACCAGCAGATCCCTGTAGAAAAATAGGAAGAGATGCTCAGAAGGCTTGGATCTACATCAATGGACTACAGAGAAGTCAATGGTGTCAACATTATGCTCCCAAATCTCCCACTGCAGATTATACAGTATAGAGGCACTGGCATAGTCTCACAGTTTTCCAGGACGAGGCATGCTGAGATCAGTTTGAGGTTCCTCATTGGATTGGCCTTTGTCTCCAAATAATAAACTGATCTCCAATTTTTAGGATGGCACTTAGGCTGTTCAGCTGAGCATTGTTTTCTAGGATATGCCAAAGATTTGCCTTTCACTGTTTTCAGCGTTTCAGATCCAATTCGACTGCAAGTACCTACGTTATTTCAACAGTTTGAGGATCCCCTTTCTGCCCTCGTCTACACAGACTTTTGCACTCGCTTGGGGGCAGAGATTGGGAATGGCGCCTTTTTAGCGAACTACCTTGTTGGCTGGGGAGGTTTGGGAGCTGTAGTCCAAAAAAGTAACTTTCTTAAGCTCTGTTTCATGGTAGGGCCTACTGGGACTACCATACCCACAAGCATTAAGTTGGGTTTTTGGAAAGACCTCCTCTCTGTGGCATTGCTAGCAGCTTTTCCTTTTCCTCTTTTATTTTGAAATGTACAAAGAAAGTGACTGTAATACATACACTGATTGTATTAAAAAGCAAAAGACAACAACACAGGATTCCCCAGTGTCTCCATACTTACTGGCTGCCCTCTGTCGCCTGGTTTTCCAGCTGCACCAGGAGCACCGGGGGGACCAAGATGGCCTGGAGCCCCAGGTAGACCAGGAGAACCATTTTCACCACGATCACCCTGATGAGAGAGAATCACAGCTAATGTGAGCATTGAGCTTTAAATATTGCCTCTCAATAATGAAAAACCCCTTGGGTTTTTTTTAAAGGGGAAAGTCAAGGCAAAAATATTTAAAATAAAATAAATAAATATTCACCTAGTCAGTGACATGTCAGTGAAGCACAGGGAAATTCTAAAAATTGGTAAGGTAACTTCTGTGATCACTGGCGTTTCAAACAGCACAAAACTGTGTGTGATGAGGTCATTCCTCACCTTTGGTCCTGGTGATCCATCACGACCTGGCACACCATCTGATCCAGGGTTACCCTTGGAAATGCAAAAGATGACATTTAAATGCAGGCATAAATGTAGGTATCAAAAACAAAGCCATGAGAAGAATAGGAAAATGATGGGAAGAAACCTAATAATTTAATTGAACTTTAGTTTCAGAGTGTGAATTTCATTTCCTTGACATATCAGTATGAAAGACTTATAAAGATGTCATCCCTACATAATGAAGATTGCTTTGGTGGTTTCCATATAATTAGAATGCTCGACAGGATATTGGAATGAGATCTATTTTGGGGGTATAGAGTGTTGTGTAACTGGAGATCTGATTTTGGGTGTAGACCACTGTGTAATACTTTACTATGTTCAGTGTCTTTTTCCTGAGGTGTAACAACGAGGATGTAAAGACTGGCTTACATCTCTGCCTGACTCTCCAGGAGGTCCACTAATGCCAGAGGGACCTTGTGGTCCCGGAGGGCCTCGTTCTCCTGGGCTGCCATTGGTTCCTGGTTTGCCATCTTCACCCTGCAATGCAAAGTAAACAAGTAAACAAGTAAGTAAATAAGTAAATCAACTGATAAAGTATTAACATTTTTGGATCCTCCTAAATTTAACAAGTAACCCTAAAAAATCCACAGAAAATTCCACTGGACAAAATCCAGTTTGTCATCGTATAATATGGCCATTGTAAAAGGGTCAGGTGTTCTGCTGTGGCAACAAGGATAGCAACAAGGTGTTTGCTCAGTCAGGGTGTTTGACCAGTTGCACAATGTGCTGGCAGAAGTGCTTAGTGGCTATCGTGATGTGATTGTAGTTATTCTGGGTGTCACGTTATGCCCACGTATCTATGCAACTGGATTTCAGCCGCCAAAGAGTAGCAAATGCCCACAGATTCACGGTACAGTGGACCCTCCACTTACAGACGGCTCGACTTACAGACTTCTCTGGCCACAATTTAGATTTGACTTGCAGCCAGAGAATCGACCTACAGACCAGAAAAAAACAAAAATGGAACAAAAATAGAATAAAAACTGCCAGTTATGGGATTAATCAGTTTTCAATGCATTGTAGGTCAATGGAGATTCGACCTACAGACTTTTCGACTTGCAGCCACCGTTCCAATATGGATTAATTCCTTAAGTAGAGGGTCCACTGTATTAAAATTCTATTTCAGTTCAGTTGTGATACCAGACAAAACAGAAGGTTACAGATCCAAGTATGAGTCTGAACTGGAGTACACCCATTTAATAACTCCTAAATGGTAGGTTAACATCTACATAAATCCGATTTATTTGATGGGTCTATCCTAGCTGAGGCTAGAATGAGGCCAAGTCTGGTCTTTTAAAAGACTGCCTAAATGGTAAATCTCACACTGATTTTAAGATACAGGGATCAAGAGCTCAACAAATCGTAAACCAAAAACTTTATGAATTCCTTGAACCCTTGTAGACCTTTTGACTCCCAACCATTAACTTAAACTAAGAGGATACAACTAATATCTAGAGCTTTAGTAAAGTATAGAGGGTAGCCTTACTACTATAACAGAACCCTTGAAATCAAGGGAGCATATGTTACTTATGCCTAACAAGTAACATGTCAAATTGAATGTGTCACATTTGCCTTTACCAAGATAAACCTGTTGTTACATTTGCTTGATGAAAGGTATCAAGAAACCCTGAAAGGAAAAGCAAGAAAGGCTGCTGATAGATACTTTCCTCAGTTGCCCACAGGAAATAGCCACCTCCTTATACCAATTAGCATATTCATTCTGCACACATCTGAAATGACCGAGTTTTTACTAATAATGGAGGACAATTTGGGGTACTGGGGTGCAAAGTGGAGCATTAAGCATTTATGTGGAGGTGTTCCGGAATGGCTTTACAGAGCTTGGCGGTGACACGCTGAGGCAGTTTTTATCAGCAGGAAAGAGTTTAAGCCAAAGAGTTTAATAACCAATACTTGGGGTTCAGTTCTTCTTCGGCAGAATGCTTTAGATAATTTAAATAATGGAATCGTGCCTTACCCTTGGACCAGCTAAACCAGCAGGGCCGGGCAAACCTCTCCCGCCTGGCAGTCCAACAATACCACGTTGTCCAGATGGGCCCGGAAATCCTGAAGGACCAGGTGAACCCTAGGAGAGATTTTTTTTTAAAAAAGTGTCAGACATGATAATGGGTTTGGAGGCACAGATGTTATTTAGACTTACAAAGATGGATGTACTTTAAAAGAAGCAAACATTATGTTACAGAACTGCTAAGGAGAGGCAGTGCAGAGGAAAACATATTCAGCACAGAAGGGAATATAAAGCAAATCATCTGCTCTCGTATGATCTTATTTCCAGCTATATCATTCTCATAAACATGCTCCTGATGATTTTTAATCATCTTAATGCCAGATAAAGATTGATAATAACAGCACATGTATCTGTGACACAGCATGGAAAAATTACCTTTTTTTAAGTTATTAGTTCCAAAACGTTGCAACCAATGTGGCCACTGGCTATGCTGGCTAACAGATTCTACGTTTTATAATCCTAACCCTGATCCTAATCTTCCTCTCCATCATCTTTAGTTTCTAATTTACAACAGTTGGCCATAGCTGCCAATTTATTTTCTGAAATTCAAAAGTCAGCAAATTTGTAAATGTATCATCTCACCCTCAATTTGTGCGGACTTGACTCCTAATTTTTAGGACTTGACTCTTTGGTCTGCCCCATGAACCAGTAATAGTGAGAAATAAAAAGTGCAAAATAATGGTGATGATGATGATTTTTCTAAGCTCTGATTGTCCTAGCAGTATTTACTTAACACTGATGGCCCTACTATTTTATTTTAAAGTATAGCACGAGAGGAGACATCTCCTTAGAGAACCAACCTACTATGGACAATTTATACCCTTTGGTGTTAGGATCACATCAACTGCATGTATCACTATCCTGTTTCCCAGAAAATAAAACCTAACCTAAAAATAAGCCCTATTATGATTTTTCAGGATGCTCATAATATAAGCTCCACCCCCAAAATAAACCTCAGTTAAGTGAAACCCCGCCCTCCACCATGGTGCAGAAACCAGAAGAAGGTAATATGACTGTGTTTGAATAACTGTAGATTGTTATACATGCAAAAAAAATTAAACATCCCCTGAAAATAAGTTCCAATGCGGTTTTTGGAGCAAAAATTAAGACCCTGTCTTATTTTCGGGGAAAGAGGGTAGTACTACCCTATGTATTCTTTCCTACTGGGAGCTAACCACTTTTTAGCTGTATTGAGAAGCTGGCCTTAAAACTGAGGGTAGACTTTCCCTGGTCAGAAATAAATATTTATTTATTTCATTTATGACCGCTCTTTCGCTGAAATTGTATTGATGGTTGGCATATTTTAATTATGAATTATTTAAATATATTTAAACTGTTTTTTATGCTATTACATTTACATTTTTAAAAAGACAAACCTCTTAGAGATGTTATTATCTCATATAATAAAACTGTATTATAAACAAACAGACAAATCAATCTATCAATCAAAATGAAGAACCCGAATGAACAGCTGTGATGAAAATAAAATAAGGGGGACTTTTCTCTCTTTTCACCTGGAATGGAAAACCTTCATTAAATAGAAATATGTGCTAAAATTCTTCCATGTGGATAAAATGGTGCTGTTATATCCAACAGAAAAACAACAGTGACTAGACGTAAATATTGGTTCTTTTTATCATCTCTAGAGACATAGCGAACAAAGGTCCATGTTGTCAATGCACTTGCAGTGTTCAAGTATGGGAGATAGGAAATTACAGGAAAATGACTGTAATTTGCAGTGTATTCCTGATTTTATTTCTATTTTTGATGAAGCTTGTTAAATAGCATTCTTACCGGTTCTCCTCTTGCACCTGCTGGACCTTTTTCACCTGGCTGGCCAGGCTCACCTTTTGGACCTGCAGCACCAGGGGGGCCAGTAGCACCGGTAGAACCAGAGGGACCAGGAGGGCCGTCTTTGCCTGCGGGGCCTGCATTGCCAGGTTGCCCTGGGCTACCCTATGAAAACAAGGTTTGAAGGTAACGATCAAAATCCAGTTATGCGAACACACACCGGCACAATTTCAGAAGAATGGATGACTTGGGATGTGAGCAAAACCTCCGAAAAGCCTTTGGCTAATTTGAATATATAAATGAAGGTACTCTATAAATACATTTTAAAGCTGAGCACGTAAAAGATGGAAAAGAAAATTTGAAAAGACGCAACAGATGACTGATGAATACAGGAAGAAAAGGGCAATAGGAAATGGTGTTTGGATATTGCCCTCTACTTTTCTAAAACTGTATTTACTTCTAAGGGTGTTTAAAGGGCATTTGGGCACCTCTCTGTCAAGGATACTGTAATTGTATTATCAGGCTGGGGGCTGAAGAGTTCATGTGGTATAGTAGTCACCATGTTAGACTGGCACATGGGGAGTTCCAGTTCAAGTCCCCATGGAGCCATGAGATGGGTTGAGTGACATTGGGCCTGCCACTTTCTCTCAGCTTGATTTACCTCAAGATTATTGTGAGGGCAAAGTGGGGAGGGAGCATCTCTTCACTTGTGGAAGGTAAGGTGGATGCTGCCAAAAAATAAAACACCACCATAACAGGAGCAGATCTACTATGAAACGCCTGACGACTAAGTTTCAGGGTCCCTCTTCCTGCAGGGGCCCTAGAAGCGACTTTAGTCCACCCAAAAAATAAAACACCACCATAACAGGAGTAGATCTACTATGAAACGACTGAAGCCTAAGTTTCAGGGCCCCTCTTCCTGCAGGGGCCTCAGAAGCTACTTTAGTCCACATTTTTTAAAAAATGGTGGTGATCTGTTGCGGAGCAACCCCATTGAAGAAGATAATAATGGATATCCAGACCTCATTGCTGGTTGCAGAGGGCCCCCTGTAACAGTTCAAACATCAGGGACCCCAACATGTAGATCTGCCATGGCTCCATAGTGCTTTGCAACAATGTGCCTCCTTTGCCATGATGAACTCTGCCATCTTTTGCTTTTTGTGTTTCCGGCAAGCCATCACACAGCCAATATGTCTGACTTGGCACAGTTCTGCATTGCTACAATGTGTGTGTGTGTTATGGAGTTTTTGACTGCTATTTTAGGAGTCTGCCCTGCCTTAGTCATAGCGCAGGATTGGCTAGGAAGGACTTAAGTCTTGGCAATGTATACAGAATTGTTTGAAGGAGCCTGATGTTCCTCCATCAAGGCCATATTTAATAATCTTTCAAAATAAACCAAGGGATTAAGAAGCAAGAAATAGGCTTCAGATAATATCACATTTCCACTAAAGTACATCTATAGATCTTCTGTGCAAATGTGACTTTTCATTCATTTCACTGGAGTTGGCCGCTGAGGTTATGAACAGGATTAAAGGAATCTGAAAACATAGTAAGGATTTTTAGGATGATAATGATTCTTACATTGTTACCCGGAGGACCAGGTAAGCCGCGACTTCCAGGAAAGCCAGCCTGACCCTGAAACATAAGAAATCTTAATGTTAGCAGTGAACTTTGGGTATATTCAAGACACACAGAGGTATTTGCTAGCACTGTTCATGAACTAGAATCCACTTCACCAGATGCGTGTCATGTTCTCCTCAGCTGGCAGGGACATCTGTTCAGAGTCAGGCTCTCCACTACAGAGCCGTCTTGTGAAAGGTAGCAGAACCTTTTCACAGTCCATGGACACACAGTCCATTGTAGGACAGAAGTTTAGAAAGGAATGTCCAAAGTGAACTGGAATAAGCCATGCCAGTCCTTCCTTCTTTTCTTTTCTTTATGTTTCCTGCTAAGGAAATTTGTTCTGTTTTTTTTTTTATCCCAGTATAGCTGAGGAGAACCAAACCTATCATTAGACCCAGTGAGAAAGTGGCATCAAATTTTGATACCATGGAAAGGTGGGATTTTTCCCCCTGTTCTTTTATTGTTTTTATTGTGATTGTTTATGACTGTGCTGTCCTTCTGTTTGCCACCCAGAACAAGTAGCCTTGCTACTAGTTGGGTGGGATAGAAATGTAAGTCAATAAATAAATGGTAACTTACTTTAGAATTATTATACTTGTGGGATGTGCATTTAAAGAAAAAATAATCTGGCCACCTTGGGTCCTTCTGCCTCAATATGAAAGTCATGGTGGCATTGGTTCTTTTGTCTCAGACAGAAAAATGTCTGGGAACAGCCTTGGTTTTGAGAGACCACCACCCTAGACTGAAAAAGTAATACTCACTGGGGGGCCTGGGGACCCACGTTCTCCTTTTCCTCCTTGTGGACCTGCAGGACCCTAAGCAGAATACAAAGAATATGTATTAGATTTTGATGCCAACTGACCGAAAACACCAGGGTAGAGAACAAACCCAACCCAATAAATAAAATAAATAAATATAAACACTTACTGGTGAACCAGGGCCTCCGGGTGGACCAGCAGCCCCTGGGGGGCCGGCTTCACCTCGTTCACCAGCAGGGCCTTTGTCACCTTTTCCACCAGGCTCTCCATTTTGTCCCTGTGCGAAAAACATGACATCACACTCATTAAACCTCAATGCCTAAGGAGACCGAAGACGTTTTTGTCAGACGTAACAGTGCTTTGAAAAGCTAGAACGGAAATTGAAGTCACTATAGCTTCTGTAGTACTCAACGCAGAGAAAGAGACAGAGAAATCTCAACAGAATAGGAAGCGATAAAACAGTAAAGACCATGGTTCCCTCAGCTCCCCACCACAATTTCTCCATACTTACAGGAGCTCCTGGGAAGCCGGCGGGACCAGGGGGACCTTGTTCACCTCTGTCGCCCTGCACGTCACAAACAGGGAGAGGAATAATAATCATTAAAAAGCCATCTTGGAGATTTGAAAGCAGCACTCTTACTGTCTCTCCTAGCTGCCCTCACTTGTCTTGAGATACTACATTTGTTGACATTAAAATGAAATGTATAGGAATAATTTATATCGACAAAATAATTAAACATCCAACCTTTAAAAGAATCATTTTTAAAACAAACATTGTTTTGGCCATGAATTAAAGGGCCAGGAAACATTAATCAATGTTTTAAAATAATGCAGCTGACCTTTAAGGAGTAAAAGAATGAATTCTTAAACAGTGTTGGCAATATTAGCCCACCACAGACCATGAGTTAATTTTAATGAATTCTTTCTAAGCTCCATCCTCCTGCTGCATTATTCTTTTCCTTCTTCATATCTACCTTTTTCCTATTTTAGTGCAAACAAATCAAGTCTCCCTGTCTGAATTTTTCCCCATATTTCTCAGGGGTCCAAGGCAGGATAATAAAATTCACTCCCAAGGTGGCACTCTCAGAATTGTGATTTATAAGGCCAATGCGGTAATAAACATCTAGGGAATAATCTACAACAATATTTTAAATAGAACAACAAAATGAAGGGCTGCTATACTGTGGCAGATTGTCACGAATTAAAGAGTTGTGTTGACTTCAGGGTGCTTACAATTGTACCCAAGAATTACACACATACTCCCCCAATCTTTTTAATTAGTAGCATTCTGCTCCTGCTGGTGATGTTAATTCTTATTGCACAGACAGAGTCATGCAACATCATACAGGCTAATGTCTCTCACAGGACGGAAAATATAATGGGCATGCTGATCATCTGCTAGCACGTGGTGGAAACCTCATACATGGTATCTGACTGTTTTGATGAGGACATACCCGTATTTTTCGCTCCATAAGACGCACCTTTCCATAAGACGCACTAATTTTTTAGTAGAAGAAAACAGGAAAATATAATCTGTTTTCTTCGCTCCATAAGACGCACAGACTTTCCACCCCCCTGTTTTGTGGGAAAAAAGTGCGTCTTATGGTGCGAAAAATACGGTACATTTTGACAACAAATATATGAGCTAGACCTAGATTGTAGTTCCATGAATCTATGACATTGCAACAGATATACAGTAAGTTAAATATTGGAAGAGAGATGGGCAGCCATCCACACAATTAGGAAAATGTAGAGGTCAGAGATGAATCACTAAACCCTTCTATTTACTCAAGTACAAAATAAATGGGAAAAGGGAAAAGGATATGATAGTTGCTGAAGTTACTTTTTCAGTTATCATACTGTTGATATTTTAGTGAAATAATGCATTTCACATACTTAAATAAGTAGGTAGAGATAAATTTATACAATGTACATTTAAAAAAATATTTAAAGAAAAGAAAGATATTTTAGCATCTGTTTGGATTTTCCCTATCAAAGACATGTATACTGACAAGGAATCCTGTTTGTCTAATGAACTATTATGAATGAATGGAAATGAATGGGTTCTACCAGGTTACACTTCTTCACCAAACGTGATGCAACAGGACAAAGTGACCTAGGACAGGATGATAATTTCACATTTAAAAAAAGAAAGAAAGGTTGCTTACGGGACCACCACGGGCACCTGTTGGGCCAGGAGGACCAGCTGGGCCAGACTCTCCCTAAAAGAAAAGAGGAATGTTTTAATTGAAGGATTTAACTCTTGAAAAATGAGAACAATTAAAACATACATATGAATATGTGTTATTGAGATAAATACCTTGTCACCAGGTTGGCCAGCAGGGCCAGGGGGTCCGATGGATCCAACAGGACCCTACAAAGATAAAATATGTATGCATATATACTGCTTTATCAGTCATCAAAAGCACAAACATATCCATCAACAAAGTGTGCAATGCAAATGTATTGTGGATACTCTTTGTTATATGTGTTAGTGGATGGTGAAGTTAATGTGTGGAGTTGGTTTTACCCTACAACTGTTTCTGGATAGCTCAGTGAGAGCTGGTCGAACAACTTAATGGTTTATATATCTGGCTGTAGAGCCAGAGGTTGGGAGTTCAATTCCCCACTGGGCCTCCTGTGTGGTCTTGGGCAAGTTGCACAGTCCCAGGATGACCCCAGAGGCAGGGAATGGTCAACCACCTCTGCGTACTTTCTACCTAGAAAGCCCTGAAAAAGCTCACCATAAGTCAGAATTGACTTGACAGGACACAATTATTATTACAAGTTTTGTCATTGTGCTGCATGAGCATTGGCTGAAAGAGCAGTAGTGTGTATTATGACTTCTTAAGAATTCTTTGGTGAACAAAATGCTGTTGTTATTCAAAGATTATGCCATGGGCTTTCAGCATTGCTGAAAGCACCCACCTGTGCATGACAATCAAACCATACGCTTCAAAAGCTACAATTGAAATTTACTAAGTTCATCATATGAATTGAAATGGCAAGCAATAGTAATGCTTTCCTCTACTGACAGGGAATTTTCATGTGTTCCTGCAGGTTTTATTTGTATGGGTTCTATTCTAGCTCTTTCAAAAATGGAATGAACTATGAAAGATGGACACTAAACATTCTTTAAAATACTTCAATTAACAATCTTTTCTACTTAAAATTCAAAATTGATATCACCAATTTCAACGGAACAGTGTGTCTTGTGGCAAATGAAGTCTTGTGTGCCTGTTATTCAAAAAGGAACATAGCTTGTACTGAAGGTTATACTTACTCTTAATCCATCTTTCCCAGGTAAACCATCTCCACCTCTTCCACCAGGCTCACCCTGTAAGACAAACGTTTAGCTGGTAACAACACATTGGTTACAAAACAAATGCTTATAGGAATTGGAGGAGCATCATTGCTACTTCTTAATATTACCAAAGTTCCAACTACTTGTTAACTACATCTGGTTGTACCCTAGGAGTGAAATTTGTTGCCATCCATCTGCCAGGATTGTGGACAGAGGCAATATTTCACTGACTGCAACAAGCTAACTGTGTAGAGTCTGCCATTTTGTGTGGGCTGGTTGTTCTGCTGGGATAGGCCCCCAGGAATGCTGACAATTGTATATAATTTTTGTTAACCTACTAATTATCATATCACAGGATTGTGTTCTGGTAGAATTGGATGGGTATACGAGTGCTACCAAAAAGAAAGGAAAAAGACTATATGCACTCAGCCAGAATTTAAAATTATAAGAGCAAGGAAGTGTTCGAAGATGTCCATACTTGTGTCCCCACATCACCATAAGCCATTGTATAGCTTACTGAAATCTGGTTTGTTGTGATGTGTGGACTCACTTTGTTTTAAAAAAAACATGTGCTTTGTTGTCTAGCTGCAGACAGCCATCCGACTCGGTGTCTTGTAATGCAGTGGCTAAACTGCAGTACTGCAATCAAGACTCTGCTCCTGACTTGAGTTCGATCCCGACGGGCTCAGGTAGTGGGTTCAAGGTTGACTCAGCATTCTATACTTGCCTTAAGCAATGAACTGTGGTAAACATGCCCCCCAAAAAGAATCGGGACAATCATGGTAATCATATGCAAGCCTTGACCCAGAATATATTTTGTTGTATTTGTTTTATTTAGTTTCATATGACCCCATTCCAATAAACAGAGTTATGATGGGGATTATTTGGCCAGCCCAAGCCCGTTTTGTTGGAAGGAACCACCACTGACTTCTATGGGAACTCCCCATGGAAAATCAAAGACTGGCACAGTGCTTTCACTTGGTTTGTGCTTGTTTCGAGGATTTATGTGACTGGCACGCTTTGCAAAAACGAGTACCGACTGTTTCCGCTGTTCTTGCCTGCAGTTAGTTTTGAGGACAGGCTTATTGAACAAGCATTGGCAGGTGAGGGCATTGAAGACAGCCTTCAGTCATCAGGCCGGCAGTAGCTAACCAGCATGTTTTTTTTTTTTAAGAACGATAGTTACGGTTTGATGGTGGACGTGAGTGAAGAGGCTGACCTTATCCCCTTTGGGTCCAGGATTTCCAGAACCTCCTCTCTCTCCAGGCATTCCCTGCAATCCCGGTGGTCCCATATTGCCAGGGGGACCTGGTGCGCCAGGAGGACCCTAGAGAAGCCATTTAAAGAGTAGCTGTTATGACAACAACAACAACAAAAAGAAAGACACGAAGCCTTGTGCCAGGTGTGTACACAAAACACTGTAACCTCAACGTACTTTTGCGCCTTCTGGTCCAGCTGGGCCAACACCTCCTCTAACTCCTGGGGTTCCTGGAGGACCTTGTCCGCCTCGTTCACCCGGGATGCCGTTTTCACCCTAATACAAACACAAGCATTTGGATGTCTAGTCTCCAAGGTCCAAGGGGGAATCTCCGTTCCATCCCATACTTTGGGCATCCCGCAGGGTGCGGTGAAATATATACCTTCGATCCTGGGAGTCCTGGTGCTCCATTTTCACCTCTTGGACCCTGTCATCAATCAAAGACAAAATGGATTACCAATATGTTTTTCTCACACACCACACACACACAAACGCAAACACAAACACACACATTTCTATTGGGGAGCCTCAGAGCAGAAACACTTTCCTCTCTAAAGGATGGCAGGCATTGGTTTTCCCACCAAATAGCATGGCATACCAACACATACCCATTTTAAAACGCAATTTCCTAAGTGGAAGAGAGGAGAGGAAGGCCGGCAACTTACTGCTTCTCCGGGTTTTCCATTCTCTCCAGGTGGTCCTGCGCCGCCAGGCAGTCCCTAGAGGAAGCAGATTTATTAATTGATACAAATTGTCCTTTTTTGCTTTTTCATCCCCAAATCCTACACCCATGGAGTTAAGTAATATTTTTTAACATGCAGAAATTGTTCTGAGGCTTATTTCTTCCAGTTAGCCACCTGTGTCGGAAGCTCTCTTCCTATCCATTCTATCAGCCTTTCTCTTCCCTTTTGAAAGCATCGCAATACAGTACCACAGATACTCTTGGCAAAGGCTCTGTTGTACCTTCTCCCTAGAACTTCTGCATACAGTCATTTGTGAGGCTAACAGAGAAAGCTCTGCTCGAATCATGTTGCTCATGGATGCCAGCATGACGCTATGGGCATACACTTCAGAAGCAAGCTAAGAACTTGATGGAGGCACTTGCTATGGCATACGAGCTGCGTGACTCTGTGTACAACAGCAATTGCCTGGGCTGACTACTTAACATGCACCATTTGCCACTGAAATTTATGCCAATGGAGTTAATACTGACACAATATATAACAGGATTTTGGCCAATATCTGCAGGCCGTTGACAACCTTCAGAACACAGACAAAGAGCCCCAAAACCCACAACAACCAGCTGTGTTGTACTTTCTCCCTAGAACTTCTGCATACAGCCATTTGTGAGGCTAACAGAGAGAGCTCTGCTCAAACACATTAGCCCAAATCATGTTGCTTATGGATGCCAGTGTGACGCTATGGGCATACACTTCAGAAGCAAGCTAAGAACTTGATGGAGGCACTTGCTATGGCATACGAGCTGCGTGACTCTGTGTACAACAGCAAATGCCTGGGCTGACTACTTAACATGCACCATTTGCCACTGAAATTTATGCCAATGGAGTTAATACTGACACAATATATAACAGGATTTTGGCCAATATCTGCAGGCCGTTGAAGAAACTTAACAAGAATTCCTTCAAATCTTCACAAGTTTTTAATATTTCCCTCATGTGATCAATTCTGGATCAGGAGTAACTTTTCATAAACTTCAAATCTCTCTTCAGACTTGGTTAGATCAGAAATGCAGACAAGGGAAGAGCAGGATAATTACACAGAACAGAGAGAACTAAAGGAAATATGTCATCTAAAATACTACACTGCCTGTTCCATCTGGCCAAAATCCATCCTTGAATATTAGTATGCTCAAATTCCAATGATTTAGGTGAAATTTAAAGTGAGTTGGGCTCCAGATCTCAGTCCCAAATAGGAAAATTCCATGCCTCTCAAGAGATTGAATCCCAGTTTTGAACGTCATGATAACATGAATGTCAAAATACCTGGAATCCTGGGGGCCCGATTGCTCCTGGTTCTCCTCTTTCACCTGTAGGGCCCTGGAAAATGAAGAAGAAAACCAATCATCATACTTCGGTCATTACATAGTAACACTCTATGCTTGAGCATCTGTGTTATATTGTTCCTGAGACTATTTTCTGCTCCTGGAAAACTCCAGTAATAATGGTTTTGCAGTAAAGTGGTGCGCTATCCCACACCTCCCTAAACAAGAAAAAATGAAAAGCAGTATTTCAAAGAATGGAATTCCCCACCCCCAATCTTAAAACGATGTGCCTGTGGAGGGTGTTGAGGGAGGAAATTCTACCCTTCCCCCCCTCCCAACCTTCCAAAGTTGACCAGCCCAGAATATTTCATGTTTCTGACTTACAGCAGGTCCTGGGGGACCTTGGGCTCCTGATTCACCGTCCTTTCCAGGTATACCCTGTGGAATAATAAAGATGGCCACTTGTTATAGGTCAATATATTTACATTATACTGTATATATATTTTTTAATAGAAGGGGAAATACTGTGGGATTTCCAGAAGAGTTGATTGATTCTACTAACCTGTCCTCCAGGAGGTCCAGGAGAACCTCTTTCTCCATTTTTACCTGGTGCACCCTTGAAAAGAAAAAAAA